CCAACTCTTCTCCGCTTGCCACCAAGCATCAAACTTGAGTCCATGTCTTTTCTCTTTCCACCGGTAGAGGGAAGCAAGAAACAGCAAGCATGGGCTTTCCAACAGCAGACAATGTTTTAGTGGAAACCATGCCTAATATCTTGAATTTTAGTGTTCTCAGTCTTGATGCTTCATTTTAAAAAGGAATGTCTATAGGGTAGAAGGAAAGAGAATGCTATTTATTTATTGTGTCATCAGCAACCAGACATTTGTATTACATTTTTAACACAAACAAACAAACAAACAGACAGACAAAACACAGAATTTGTAAGCTTGGTAGTTGATTAAATGTCCTTTGACCAGTATGTGGCCACTTGGAGTGCCTCTGGTGTTGCCGCAAGGAGGTCCTCCATTGTGCATGTAGCAGGGCTCAGGATGCATTGCAGCAGGTGGTCAGTGGTTTGCTCCTCTCCACACTTGCATGTCATGGATTCCACTTTGTAGCCCCATTTCTTAAGATTGGCTCTGCATCTCGTGGTGCCAGAGCACAGTCTGTTCAGTGCCTTCAAGTCGCCCAGTCTTCTGTGTGCCCAGGAGGGAGTCTCTCATTTGGTATCAGCCATTGATTGAGGTTTAAGCCTGCCACTTTTGGACTCTCGCTTGCTGGGGGTTCCAGCGAGTGTCTCTGTAGATCTTAGAAAACTATTTCTTGATTCAAGTCGTTGATGTGCTGGCTGATACCCAAACAAGGGATGGGCTGGAGATGTCACTGCCTTCGTCCTTTCACTATTGGCTGCTACTTCCTGGCGGATGTAAGGTGGTGCAATACCGGCTAGACAGTGTAGTTTCTCCAGTGGTGTAGGGCGCAGACACCCCGTGATGATGCGGCATGTCTCAATAAGAGCCACAGCCACTGTTTTAGTGTGGTGAGATGTGTTCCACACTGGGCATGCATACTCAGCAGCAGAGTAGCATAGCGCAAGGGCAGATGTCTTCACTGTGTCTGGTTGTGATCCCCAGGTTGTGCCAGTCAGCTTTCGTATGATATTGTTTCTAGCACCCACCTTTTGCTTGATATTCAGGCAGTGCTTCTTGTAGGTCAGAGCACGGTCCAGAGTGACTCACAGGTATTTGGGTGCGCTGCAATGCTCCAGTGGGATTCCTTCCCAGGTAATCCTCAGAGCTCGGGATGCTTTTCTGTTCTTGAGGTGAAAAGCACATGTCTGTGTTTTCGATGGATTAGGGATCAGCTGGTTTTCCCTGTAATAGGCAGTAAGAGTGGCTATTGCTTTGGATAGCTTCTGTTCAACCATCTAAAAGCTCCCTGCTTGAGCAGTAATGGTTGTGTGAGATGAAGTCCTAAGAATCCTAACAGCAGTCCTACAGGCTTTAATACTGCTAACACATAAGGGTAAGAACTGTGTGCTAATATGACCATTAAAATCTGTGAGGGTATTTTGTTTTTCTTCATTTTTATGACTGAATCAAATCACTACATTTTATTACCTTGCTTATGCGTGGTTTAATACCAGTATTTCTGATTTTTAGTTTCAAAATGCCGTCATGTTTACATGTTTCTTTAATGTTACAGATACAAAGGTTTCTAAAAGAGAGAAAAATGTCATTTGCAAGTGGATCCTTGTTTAGTCAGTGAAAAGGGGCCAAAAAAATTGCAGGGAAGATTCAAGTTTCTGTGTCCATATGTCTAAACAGAAATTGATTCATACAGCTATCCTTTTAATCAAATATTCTAGCAAAAAGATTCACCAGTTGTATAACATTTTGCTTACTACTTATGCAACACTTTGCATACTATTTAGTCATCACCATAATTTCTGGGAGATTTATTATTAGATTCAATTCATTCTTTTTTAATTCTAGTCCGTTGAAGATCTCCCTGCCCCATATCTAAGAGCTAGCTTTAATGCTGCTATCTCATTCAGTGATTGTTTGCAAATGCTAGAACGGTGGTGTGTTTTTCACATCAGGAATTTCAAACTCAGGTATTTAATTCAGCTCATACCACTCCAGGTACTTTTAAAATCACTTATCTCTAATCAGCAGTCACAGTGTCTTGCATTTTGGCATTTATGAAAGACAGACTTCATCACATTAGAGAGCTCCAAGGGAATCTCGTAGCCATTGTAATCAACACAGTGGCTGTCTCAGTTTCTTAATGACACACGTGTAGTCTATTCAGTGTAAGTCAACATTTTTATTGGCACCAAAATTATAGTGAAATATATTGTCATGATGATAATTTATTTAGAATTTAGAACTTTTTATATCCTGTTCTTCTCTACCTCCGTGGAGGGACTCAGAATGGCTAACAACAGCAAAAATTCAATGCCACACAACAAATAACATTTTAAAAACAACATACATAATACATAAATTATAAAATACATATAAAAGACAGTTCGCCGAATTAAAAACATCATCCAACTCAATCCAAACATTGTGGTCCAGTAACTCTTAGTCTTTACCGGTTCAATTACTATGGCGTCGCTGCTTCGCAGATTTTCACTTACAACTGTATGCTCTACATATGTGTGTATCCCTCTTATGTGGGTGTGTTTCATTTGTGTATCCTGTAAATGTGGGTCCTGGCTACTGTGGTCCTGGTCTGCTATACATTTGTCACTGTCTGTGAGAAATAGCACAATTCCTTCTGAGCTTGCAGCACGCACATTGAAATGTTTTACACTGATTTGTTTATTGCTCTCTCTTTTTCAGTGTAACTCAGATAGCCTTTTAAAGAAATCACCACTGGACAATAGCACAGTGACTATTCTGTGACCCTTCCCCAAAAGTACTTGGACTATGCTTCCTTCTTCTCCAGTGCTAAAAACCACTTTTCCTCAGTTGGGGAAAAGGCCAAACCAATGTATCAGCAAGGCTGGACAGTGAAGCCCTAATTTCATGAAAATAAGGAGTCCTGCTACTGCAGTTCATAACCTGGCTGGTACATTTATTCAGTATTTGTTTCAGTCAGGGCAGACTGTGGGGTTAGCCACTCGTGTATGTTCCTCCAAGTTGCCTGTTGATTATGGTGACCCTATTCATTTCATAGGCAAAGAACAACCATTTCCTTCCTCTGAAATGCAGCATGCAGCAATGGTGTTTCTTGGTGATCCCCCATCTAAGTACTAACTTCATCGTATTTAGCTTCTGAGATCAGGCCAGATCTGGTACCTTCAGAGTATTTAGGCACTTATGTTAAAGATGAAGAACCTGACACTACACATTGTGAATTTTCCAGATCCTAGAGGCAATTACCAATGGCATAGATGGAAGGGAAAGCCACCTTGTTCTTCATTCAGAAGTGATCCCTGAACACTGTGGAGGGAACAGGAAGGAAGAAAGAGTGTGAATCCTCTAAGTCAGGGATCCTCAAACCTTTTAAACAGAGGGCCAGATCACAGCCCCTCAAACTGTTGGAAGGCCGGATTGTAATTTGAAAAAAAAAAAACCAAACATGAATGAATTTTTATGCACACTGCACACATCTTATTTGCAGTTAAAAAACACTTTAAAACAATACAATAATTAAAATGAAGAACAATTTTAACGAATATAAACTTATTAGTATTTGAATGGGAAGTGTGGCCCTGCTTTTGGCTGATGAGATAGGGTTGTTGTTGTTGCTGTTGTTGTTGGGTGCTTTCAAGTTGTTTCAGACTTAGGTTGACCCTGAGTGAGGGCCGGGCAAATGACCTTGGAGGGCCGTATCTGGCCCTCGGGCCCTAGTTTGAGGATCCCTGCTCTAAGTAATGGTATTGTCTAGTCTAAGTTGTATCATGCCTAGTTCTTAGTGAACAAGTTTATGCCCATTCAGTGCCAAGGAAAGTTCATAGAATCATAAAATCCTAGAGTTGGAAGAGACCTCATGGGCCATCCAATCCAACCCCCTGCCAAGAAGCAGGAAAATCACATTCAAATCACCGCAACAGATGGCCAACCAGCCTCTGCTTAAAAGCCTCCAAAGAAGGGGCAGTGTGTTGCTCTAGTTATTCAAGAGGAGAGGCAAAGCAGTTGTCAGGAAGGAAGACAGCATGAGCCTTCTGCCAGGATTTGTGGCAGGATCTCTCTAATTAGGTAACCAGGAAGTGTCAGACTGCAGAATATGGTGTGGAATTCACCACATCTTTGCACAATGCTAGCAAGTCATGTGGAAATCATATATCACACCAACCTCATTGGTTCCCATTACAACTTCCCATTTGCCCTACAGTGTTCAATAATTCACCATCCTTCATCTTTCAGGCTGTCATATCCATACACATGAGTACACAAGAGTTTTCACTGTCTATTGAATTCAAAGAATTTGGGAATCCCGGGTGCCAATGTTTGACTTTTGTCAAAGATGAATTCAACAATCTGTTTCTGTATTCTAGCAAGTGGCTAAAAAAACTCTCTGGTACAGTGGTTCTCAACCTGTGGGTCCACAGATGTTTTGCCCTTCAACTCCCAGAAATCCCAACAGCTGGTAAACTGGCTGGGATTTCTGGGAGTTGTAGGCCAAAACACCTGGGGAACCACAGGTTGAGAACTACTGGAATCACATTTCACTGGCCAACACACTTTTGGTGCCTCAAATATTAGCCCTGTTTCTGTGTATTCTTCTGATTCCAAAAATGGCACCAGTTTCCCCCTGTGAGCTCCAGTTTTTGAGATAGGGAACATATGCCATCTACCAGTCTTCATCTGCTCTTCCACAGAAAACCATGATAATTAAGTAACTAAGTAACTAAAACTGATGGGGTCTATCCAAAGCAGTTTTCTGAATCAGTGCCCAAAATAACCCCAGGAACAGGCCAAAAACCCAAGACACGAAGAAAACACTTTTTTGTTGGGTTGTGTTATCATCAATCATGTTTTATAAAAGTAATGTATATTTATATGAAAAAAGCAATGATGGATTCAAGAAAGGGTCTGGAGATTCTAAGTGCATTAAGTACATGTCGCAGGCGCTTTCCATGATTCCTGTTTAATCTGGTGATTGCATATTAACTTTCCAGAGAGGTTCTCCGCCAGTAAGCCTCGGAGGCTCCGAATGATCTGTGACAGGTAAACTATCTATGACAGCATTATCAAGTTCTCCCGTAGGGACTGTTTGTTTTTATATGCAAGCTTTTAACTGCAGACTTGGCTTGTTTGAGCACAGTCTGAATAAGATATCACCAAAGTAGTCGTTTTAAAGCTTCTTTTTTTTTAAAGCAAATTCCAAGAGTGGCATCTTGCATGCATGGATTTGTTATTTCTATCAGGCTGTTTGTATAAGCAGCCCAAGCATTTATAGATCAGCCTTTTCAGAAGTGGCACTTAGGAAGCAAAATGAACTTGAGATGCTATAAAACTCTCAATTGAAATGTAGAGATATTACTGCTTTGCCCAATCATGACTAAACATACATTCATAATGTCAGTCCTGGGCATCTCCACTTGATATAACATTCACAGTGGTGACTTGGAGCCCCCGGTGGTGCAGTGGGTTAAACTCTTGTGCCGGCAGGACTGAAGACTGACAGGTTGGAGGTTCGAATCCAGGGAGAACATGGTGTCATCTCCAAATCCAATAGCCACCCTCTACTACTTCATTTGTTGTTTTGAAGATGTTGAAGGATGCCAAGCAGGTACAGGAGGTCCTAGAAAGAAGAACCCCTCCGGCACCTTGTTCTTCTCCAGAATGACAAGGCACCATTATATACCAAGTTATTCTTACTTATCCATTAATAGCCTGCTCTTCCCTCAATACTGAGACTCAATGCAGTTTACAAAAATGGAAACAATACAGTAAAAAGACAAATTAAAAACATATAACACTACTGTCAAAACACGTTCTATGTGGAGCTGCCTCCGAAGAGTGTTTGGAAACTTCAGCTGGTCCCAAGAACTACAGCCAGGTTGCTGTTCAGACAGGCTTTTAAAGAAGGAGGTTTTTAAGACTGATTCAGGAAGTATTGTGCTTTATGTAATTTAATTGGTTTAATGGTTTCATTATTTTAATTATGTATTTTTAATATTTCTATAAATAATTATATCTCTGTTTATATACATTAAATTTTATTCACCTATATTTATACCTGTATTGTAGGTGCTTTGAGTCTCCTTTGGTTGAGAAAAAGCAGCTAATACTTACTTACCTACTTACCTCTCCGAACACATCTCCTCCTATGAACCGACTAGGATATTAAGATCGTCTGGGGAGGCCCTGCTCTCGGTCCCGCCCGCATCGCAGGCGCGGTTGGCGGGGAGGAGAGACAAGGCCTTCTCGGTGGTGGCCCCCTGGCTGTGGAACGCCCTACCCGTGGACATCAGACAGGCCCCCTCACTGCTGGCATTCCGGAGGAAGGTCAAGACCTGGCTTTATGAACAAGCGTTTAGCTAATTGTGCAATGAGACACAGTAAGATGGTACAACTGAACATAGGAATTGGTATAAAGGATTATGATTGCGGATTCTGATTTTGATTTGTTTGCTGAGGCGCACGTCTATGTTAATGATTGCTTGATTTGTTATGTCTTGTATAATGTGTTTTAACTGCTTTTTGATATTGTTGTGTTAACCTTTACTATGTAAACCGCCTTGAGTCGCCTTTCTTGGCTGAGAAAGGCGGTATAGAAGTAAAGCAAATAAATAAATAAATACTACTAATAATAATAATAATTTGAAAAAAGAGACAGAGGGGCTGATTCTTGCACCCCAAGAACCAGCCATTACAACAAATGCCATCAAAGCCAGAATTTAAAAGTCAACTACAGATTGCAAGTGTAGACTCTACAAGGAAACAGACGAAATGATTGATCACATACTCAGCTGCTGCAAGAAGATTGTGCAGACAGTCTACAAGCAGAGGCATAATACTGTTGCTCAGGTAACCCAATGGAACTTGTGCCACCAATACAAAAAAAAATGGTGGGGTCACAAGCCTGAAAAAGAAAATGAACACATAAAACTACTCTGAGGTTTCCAAATTCAGACTGACAAAGTTCTGGAGCACAATACTCCTGACCTCATAATCATGGGGAAAAAACAAGCATGGATTGTTGATGTTGCAATCCCAGGTGACAGCAGGATTGATGAGAAGCAACTGGAAAAGCTTACACGATATGAGGATTTAAAGATCGAACTGCAAAAACTCTGGCACAAGCAAGTAAAGGTGGTCCTAGTGGTGATCAGCACACTGAGTGCAGTGCATCGAGACCTTGGCTTGCACTTAAACACAATCGGCACTGACAAAATTACCACCTGACAGCTTTAAAAGGCCACCCTACTCGGATCTGCTGGCATCATAAACTGGACACAGACAGAATTGGACAATTTGGACAGAAAAACAGGAAAACTCATGACAATTCATAATTCATTACATCCTCACAGTGATGTTGACCGGCTCTGTCTGCCTAGAAAGTCTGGGGGCAGAGGACTTTTACAAGTCAAACAAGCCATCGAAGAAGAAAAACATGCCCTGGCAGAATATGTCAAGGAAAGCCAAGAACCTGCTTTGATTGAAGTCAGTAATCGGAAACTTCTCAAAGCACAGCAGACAAAGAGTCAGTACAAGAAAACTGCACTCCAAACCAGAGCTGACAGCTGGCACAACAAAGCCTTACATGGGCAGTTCCTTGAGAAGATTGAAGGAAAAGTTGACAGGGAGAAGACCTGGTTATGGCTGACGAATGGAACCCTGAAGAAGGAGGCAGAAGGCCTGATTCTTGCAGCCCAGGAGCAAGTCATCAGAACCAAGGCAATTAAGGCCAGAATCGAAACATCAGTGGATGACCCAAAATGCAGACTGTGCAAGGAAGCTGATGTAACCATGGATCATATCCTCGGCTGTTGCAAGAAAATCGCACAGACGGACTACAAACAAAGACACAACTCTGTGGCCCAGATGATTCACTGGAACTTGTGTCACAAGTACCACCTGCCAGCAGTAAAGAATTGGTGGGATTATAAACCTGCAAAAGTTGTGGAAAATGAACATGCAAAAATACTGTGGGACTTTCGAATCCAGACTGACAAAGTTTTGGAACACAATACACCAGACATCACAATTGTGGAAAAGAAAAAAGTCTGGATTATTGATGTCGCCATACCGGGTGACAGTCACATTGAGGAAAAACAACAGGAAAAACTCAGCCGTTATTGAAACCTCAAAATTGAACTGCAAAGGCTCTGGCATAAACCAGTACAGGTGGTCCCAGTGGTCATTGGTGCACTGGGTGCCGTGCCAAAAGATCTCAGCCGGCATTTGGAAACAATAAACATTGACAAAATTACCATCTGTCAACTGCAAAAGGCCACCTTTTGAAAATACATTACACAGTCCTAGACGCTTGGGAAGTGTTCGACTTGTGATTTTGTGATACGAAATCCAGCATATAGATCTCATTTGCTGTGACATACTGTGCTTTTGTGTCAACAACAATAATAATAATAATACCATCTAAGCCTTCCTAGGGAAGAAATCACAAAGTTTTATCCCATCTTCCTACAATCAGTAGGTCTATTCTAATTGGGACTAATCAGAATAGACTCTGTTTGGGACTAGAAACTGGATTTGGATTTACATTACTTTTAAACCCTTAGGGTAGTTCATCTGCCCTGAAAACTGGAACTGATTTAAAGTAGCTCGGTGTTCTCATTACATTTCTTCAGTTATCCTGAACTGCAACACTCTCCCTACAGTATTCATTCTGTGTTTACCAGATAGATCACTGTTTTTCTTTTAGAAGAAAAAGTGGGAATAAGCAGTTCCCTCTTCTCTCTGTCACCCATTGACTTTTCAACAGCTTTGAAACATAAGGGACCAACTCCACCTTTCCTCCTCTTGCTCCAAACATAGTCCAAAACCTCCTTTCATAGTTTTTAACTTGTCTTCTAAGCTTGAACTCATACTGATGTAATCCATTCCCTAATTTTACAATCCTCCCCAATGGAAAAGAAACAAATTTCTGGGAAATAACTTGCGTTAGACTCAATTCAAAATGGAACGAGAGGCAGTTCACCTCTTGCTAGTTTTATCTTTTCACTTTCAGCTTCACACAGTATTTCTAGCTGCACACGACGCTTTATCAGGCACCAAAATCATAACGTCCTCCCATAGTGTTGATTGAACTCTTTTTCTATATCTAGAAGTTTAGAAGGAATGCCATATGTATGGCACTTGGAAGGAAGCCTGCCTTTTCCATCCAAAATATACATTAATGCAAAGCTTTTAAAAATAAACAGATCATGGTAGATTGGAACTGGCCCGATGTGTGAGCATAATAATTTAAAGCTAAAGTTTGTGATAATAAAAAATGAATTATATTAATTTGTGATTTGTTTCACCCTTACATTTAATCCTTTTATTTGCAAAGTAGAAATTTCAGTTCTGGTAATTTTTAGTTCTTTTTTTTCTTTTAGAAATAAAGTTGGTGTATTCTTTAGCACTTAAATTACACTGGCTCTCAACTTCAAAGGACAAGGTTGGGAGAGGAGAGGGAAAACTTTTGATCCGTGTGTGTGTGTGTGTATCTGTGTGCATAATTGATCTAACCCTGAGGTCCTCATCTTAGCAAACTCTATTTTTTAGACAGAGAAAGAGATTTGTCACTTAAGTATGTCACCTAAGTACTTATTTTGGTTAATACTGATTATTTTATTTGTTTCCTAGGTTGAACAAAACCTCTGAAACTGAAGATCTGGCGGCAAGAATGTTAAAAGTTTGTCCCCAAAACAGGATCTCTGCACAGGACGCACTTACTCATTGTTATTTCAGCTCTTTGCCCTTTGAGTTGTACCACCTTTCTGATGGTATGTCAATCCCTCTTCTATTTTCACCTCAAGGGTACTGAGACAAACTTTCTAACTTCTTTGATTTATTATTTACTTAAAATAATGTATAACCTTGCTCATAAGTCAACAAGGCTTCCAGAGTGACTTACAAAGATCAGTGCTTACCATTTAAGACACACAAAGAATAAGGGGAAAGGAGAGATGAGCAAAGAAGCAAGTTCCAGGTCCAGTTCTTATAGTGAGATGGAGGGGAAAATTCAGGTCACCAGACCTGAAATACTTTACTCAAGAAAGTTAGGCTGGACTCATCTTTTTAAGCCTCTAGTACAGTGTTTCTCAACCTGGGGGTCAGGACCCCTGGGGGGGGTCGCGAGGGGATGTCAGAAGGGTCACCAAAGACCATCAGAAAACACAGTATTACCTGTTGGTCATGGGGGTCCTGTGTGGGAAGTCTGGTCCAATTCTATCATTGGTGGGGTTCAGAATATTCTTTGATTGTATGTGAACTATAAATTCCAGCAACTACAACTCCCAAATGTCAAGGTCTATTTCCCCCAAACTCCACATTTGGGCATATTGAGTATTTGTGCCAACTTTGGTCCAGATCCATCACTGTTTGAGTCCACAGTGCTCTCTGGATATAGGTGAACTATAACTCCAAAATTCAAGGTCAATGCCCACCAAACACTCTGAGTATTTTCTGTTGGTTTTGGGAGTTTTGTGTGCCAAGCTTGGTTCAATTTCATCATTTGTGGAGCTCAGAATGCACTTTGATTGTAGGTGAACTATAAATCGCAGCAACTACAAATCCCAAATGACAAAATCAATTCCCTCCAACCCCACCAGTATTCAAATTTGGGCGTACCGGGTATTTGTGGCAAATTTGGTCCAGTGAATGAAAATACATCCTTCATATCAGATATTTACATTATGATTCATAATTAGCAAAATTACAGATACGAAAATAATGTTATGGTTGGGGTCACCACAACATGAGGAACTATATTAAGGGGTCACGACATTAGGTTGAGAACCACTGCTCTAGTAGACAGGCAGAGTTCCCCTGGTGGTGTAGCGGTTAAACCGCTGAGCTGCTCACCTTGATGACCAAAAGGTTGGTGGTTCGAATCCGGGGAGTGGGGTGAGCTCTCGCTGTTAGGCCAAGCTTCTGCCAACCTAGCAGTTCGAAAACATGCAACTGTGAGTAGATTAATAGGTACCGCCTTGGCGGAAAGGTTACAACGCTCCATGCAGTCATGCAGGCCACATGAGCTTTGAAATGTCTACAGGCAATGCCGGCTCTTCTGCTTAGAAATGGAGATGAGCACCATCCCCAAGAGTCGGACATGACTAGACTTAATGTCAGGGGAAACCTTTACCTTTACTAGACACGCAAAACGTTGGTGTTCCACATGGCATTCAGTATTTGAAATGTCTGTTCTAACTGTTTCAAAACTAAATTGTATGATTGGGTTTTAGACTGTTTTAAAGAATTTTAAAATAGAATTTTAACATTTTTAATAATGTTTCTATATTTGATTTGTTTCTTTCTTTATTGATCGGCCCACGAGCCCTGGTGGTTGGGGGGGGGGGGGGGGGGGGGGGGGCTGGTGATAAAGAAATACTTTATCTAAGTAAATAAAAGGCTGCTGTTAGGTGCCAAATGAGGGAGGTCCAAAGGCCGACTTTCTTTGCATGAGAAATCAAATTCTTATTTATTTCTATTGGGACTACTAGAACTGGATGGGGGCAATGAATAAGATCTTTCTTCGATGTTAACTGGAACCCTGTTAGTGAAATGACATTGGCAAAAGAGTGGCAGCAGTTGAGTAAAAGGAGGAAAGACATTTTAAACATCAGGTGCTCTGAGTTGGCAGATTTTGCCTGTCTTCTTTCACCACCATTGTGTGACCTCTGAAAAGCACGGGCTCTATTGTAACGCACCAGCAGGATTCAGGCCTTTTGATCTGAAACTATTTTCAAGCTTCACTTTGGATATGTAGATCTATCACAAGCACAGAAGACCAGCTCTGTCCAAGGGGTACACTCTGCTGAATGGTAGCAGATCCATGTGTTTAAAGCAGAGTGTTAGTGTTATGGTCACGTGGCATTCTAGATGTTGTAGCTCCCAGCATCTCTCACTTGGCTTAGAATAGATTTTAGTCCAGAAAACATCTGGAAGACTGGAAGTTTCCTACTCCTGGTTAGAACCAGGATTGGTCCAGATATCTAGAGTAGAGTCAAGGGCTTGGTTTCGAATGGACTGTGGCAAATATATGAAAGTACAGTGGAACCTTGATTTAAAAGCATTCAAACTTAAGCGCATTTTGAGTTAAGAGCTGTTGCTTGGCCTAGGTTTTTACTTTGACATAAGAGTAGCATTTTGAGTTAAGAACTAGTGTCAGAGGGAGTGCTAGCATGAGAGTACAGGGCTTTAAACTTCAAGGGAGCAGCCTCCGTGCCTTGTGATTTTGTCCACTTTGGGAGACTGCTTTGAGCTTGTACTCTTTGAGGAACTTTGGGTTAGTTGATTTTGTGTGGTTTTTATTCCTGGTATGTTTGGCTTCATGAAGAGAGAGAGAGGGAGAGAGAGCAAGAGAGGGAGGGAGGCTGGAGTGTTTTCGGTATGAAGAAAATTATGCTTCTGCCTCTTCACTTTGTGTTTCCTTGCCACAACTTTGTGCTTCTGCCATTTTAAAGTTGACCTTTCTTTTTTATTGTTCCACATAATACATTATTTCCTATTTATAAAGTACATTTTCTTATTTCTAACACAAACAGAGGGGTTTAGGCAGCTGTTCTGGATTAATAGCATTTCAATGGGAAAGTTGACTTTGAGATCAAATAAATAAATAAATAAATAAATAAATGACTTTATTTATCATCCGGCCTATCTCCCTGAAGGGACTCAGGGTGGATTCCAGCAACAGAAGGCAAATATTCTCAACCTGTGGGTCCCTAGGTGTTTTGGCCTACAACTCCCAGAAATCCCAGCCAGTTTATCAGCTCTTAGGATTTCTGGGAGTTGAAGGCCAAAACATCTGGGGACCTAGGGGTCCTCAAACTATACCAGGGGTCCTCAAACTAAGGCCCAAGGGCCGGATACGGCCCTCCAAGGTCATTTACCCGGCCCTCGCTCAGGGTCAACCTAAGTCTGAAATGACTTGAAAGCACACAACAACAACAACAACAATCCTATTTCACCATCCAAAAGCGAGCCCACACTTCCCATTGAAATACTAGTAAGTTTATATTTGTTAAATTGTTCTTCATTTTAATTATTGTATTGGTTTGTTATGTGGGTTTTTTTTTTTTGCACTACAAATAAGATATGTGCAGTGTGCATAGGAATTCATTCTTTTTTTTTTTCAAATTACAATCTGGCCCTCCAACAGTTTGAGGGACTGTGACCTGACCCTCTGTTTAAAAAGTTTGAGGACCCCTAGTCTATACAATAAAAACTACAAATACAAATACTAGTAAGTTTATATTTGTTAAAGTTGTTCTTCATTTTAACTATTGTATTGTAATAAAACTACAAATACAAATACTAGTAAATTTATATTTGTTAAAATAGTTCTTCATTTTAATTATTGTATTGGTTTGTTATGTGGGGTTTTTTTTTTGCACTACAAATAAGATATGTGCAGTGTGCATAGGAATTCATTCATGTTTTTTCAAATTATAGTCCGGCCCTCCAACAGTTTGAGGGACTGTGACCTGGTCCTCAAAAAGGTTTGAGGACCCCTGGTCTATACAATAAAAACTACAAATACAAATACATAAGAGCACTCTGAGTTAAGAGCTCAGTCACAGAACAAATTAAAGTCTTAAGTCAAGGTATCACTGTACCTGGAAGCGCAAACTGTGGGGTGGACTACCTACATGGCCCTAACTGTGCTTCCAGGTGTTTGTTTTTTTCAAATGCCTTTCCTTAAGAGGAAAGATACTTCACTTAGGCAGAAAAAACAAAATGCAAAGATACAGAATGGGGGACAATGCCTGGCTCGAGAGCAGTACGTGTCAAAAAGATCTTGGGAGTCCTCGTGGACAACAAGTTAAACATAAGCCAACAATGTGATGTGGCGGCAAAAAAAGCCAATGGGATTTTGGCCTGCATCATTAGGAGCTTAGTGTCTAGATCTAGGGAAGTCATGCTACCCCTCTATTCTGCTTTGGTTAGACTACACCTGGAATATTGTGTCCAATTCTGGGCACCACAATTCAAGAGAGATATTGACAAGCTGGAATGTGTCCAGAGGAGGGCGGCTAAAATGATCAAGGGTCTGGAGAACAAGCCCTATGAGGAGCGGCTTAAGGAGCTGGGCATGTTTAACCTGAAGAAGAGAAGGCTGAGAGGAGATATGATAACCATGTATAAATATGTGAGAGGAAGCCACAGGGAGGAGGGAGCAAGCTTGTTTTCTTCTTTCCTGGAGACTAGGACGCGAAACAATGGCTTCAAACTACAAGAAAGGAGATTCCATCTGAACATTAGGAAAAACTTCCTGACTGTGAGAGCCGTTCAGCAGTGGAACTCTCTGCCCCGGAGTGTGGTGGAGGCTCCTTCTTTGGAAGCTTTTAAACAGAGGCTGGGTGGCCATCTGTCAGGGGTGATTTGAATACAATATTCCTGCTTCTTGGCAGGGGGTTGGAATGGATGGCCCATGAAGTCTCTTCCAACTCTTTGATTCTATGATTCTATGAAAGTAGGGATTGGGTTGTAGGTTTTTTTGGGCTATACGGCCATGTTCTAGAGGCATTCTCTCCTGACATTTCGCCTGCATCTATGGCAAGCATCCTCAGAGACCTCACTACCTCTACCAGTGATTCCGGACATGATTCCTTTGACAATAGAAAGTAGGGATTTTTTTGCTGAGAAGAGGGTAGGAACTTACATAAGTGGATAAGTGTTTTTCTATACCTCTCAGCCGCAAACCCCTTTTACTTATTTACTAACTCCCAAGTCCCAGCTTTCAGCAGTCTTGGAGCAGAGCTGGAGTTTTCAACACCTGAAT